TCCAAATCGAATGCGAGCGGGCGAAAAAAAAACAAGGCGGGCAAAAAAAATTTTTTCTATATTTTCAAATTTTGAGATCATAAACCTTGTCAAACAATATTTTTTAGTCATCGGTAACATCACATATAACGTTAACGGAATGAAATACAACACTATAACAAGGTAAAAATATAAGACAAAATTAGAGCCTTGTCTTGTCTCCTCTCTTCACATTTAGGCCATGTTGATTTGATTATATGGATGACATCCTCCGGGAGCCCCAAAACTGATGCGCGTGCGAATAAAAAAAAAGTTTTGCAAAAAAAAAGTTCTTTTCATTATGAAATCTACGTGGTCATGAGGGTTGAGCAAATGCCACAGAATATGGTTTGGCGAATAATCTAGTCTTCAAGTTCATTTCTTTACAATTTCGTCTTTTTTCGTTTGATTTTGGCATTCTACGACATTGGTATAGTTTTTATTAATTTTTTTTGTAACTTATGATATATTTTTGCTCATTTTGCAACTGTTTTGTACGATTTACAGTATGGTTGAAAACTTTTTTTTTTGGAAACGGCCGAAAATTCATGCGCGCGCGGATGTCATCCATATAATCAAATCAACATGGCCTTACCGGTGACAACAAACCGCACTCAATGACAGAACACAGCGAGACATTTTCTCCAGTCAAACTTTGACTGAAGCTGGACCTTGTCCTGTCAAAGGTCAGCGTCTGAACGGCTCTCCACCTGTTTTCTTGTTCTGGTACAGCTTATTGAATCAAAGACGTTCCATCAGAACGTCCTTGATTGAATGCATGTCATCAAGAACAAGATCTTTCACCGATTCACACTTTCATTCCCTCCCTTCCTCCCCCCCTCCCTCCCTAGGCCCTTAGCATAGTATTCTTTTTCAGCATCAGAAGACTACACCCGGCCCTCTCAGAAAACCTTGTTAAACCAGAAGACATTTGAGGGACATAAAAACACACACCGTACGCTGTTTGAAGTAATTTTTTTAAATGGAAGAAAAATAACATTTATTCTCTTTCAAACTGGTTCATTTCGTACGTCATTTTAGTCTAGTGATCCACGTTTTTAGCCCCACAGCCGAATTCGAGAGATAATATAAAAATGTGGGTAACTAGATGGGAAAATGTGAGTATCTAGATGGGAAAATGTGAGTATCTAGATGGGAAAATGTGAGTATCTAGGTGGGCAAATGAAATGTGAGTATCTAGATAGGAAAATGTGGGTAACTAAATGGGAAAATGTGGGTAACTACCTGGGGAAAATGTGAGTAACTAGATGGGAAAAATGCGGGTACCTAGATGGGAAAAATGTGTAACTAGATGGGAAAAACGGAACAATTTTGACGCTACATCTTCTTAGATATTAAAACGGAAGTTCCTGACAAACTGCTATCTTCTGTGACATCTTGAACATCTTCTACCATCTCTTTCTATCAGATGTTGAACTGTCCTGCCGGCCGCTCGGCGATCCATTTGGCGATGCGCGGGTCGGACCGGACCGTGTCATACACCTTGGCCAGTTTGGGGTAGTCCTGCAGGGTTCCCGACTTGTACACCTCCTCGATGTCATACGCAATGTTGTACAACACCAGGTCGCACCACAGCATCTGAAAAGAAATGCAGAAAAGTTTGGAATTGAAACTTTAGATCACAAAAGCTCTCTCACCTAGAGCTTTCGACCAGTCACTCTGGTCTTCCTCAGTAGTAGACTGACCCGCGACGGGGGCCGACATCATCTACCAGATACCTTTGACCCAGTGTTGACGTCACACTTAAAAGAAGCCACGTGACAAGCCTCACTGGGTCAGTCTACTGCACTGAGGAAGACCAGAGTGACTGGTCGAAAACTTTAGGTGAGAGAACTTTTTGTGTTGGATCTAAAGTTTTAACTCCAACATGTAACAAGTTATTAGCCTAGTGACACTGCATACGAGTGGGTTAATCAACTCCCGCCGTGCAAACTTCCTACCGGGGAGTCTAGTTGAGATGGGCGGCGGGGAACTACTACAGGCCCGAAGAAATCCCTCCCAAACCACGATAGACTGGTCACCAGGCTAAAAGTGTTTTGGACACTTGAGTGAACCTGAGCTTTGTCGATATCTCTTTTGATGGCAGGGGTCGATCCTTCAAAGTTTTTAATTTCAAATCTGTTGGGAAAGGAGGCCTAAAAGTATCAATTGAGCACTATCTATCAAAATTTGATTTGCAATTGAGAACTGATTTGAGAATTGATTTGATTTGTTACCATTATTACAGTTGTCAATTAATTTAGTCGGGGAAGATCACGGACAAGCCATTATGGCTTCTCATCTTTCCCCTGCATATCCTATTTTACTGTAATATGTTCATTTTATTGTTCTTCTTTGTGATTATATGCGAATAAACAAACAAACAAACAAACCTCCTGATTTCAGTCTATAGTTGTACTTACACTGTTTCCTACTAGATGCCCGTCAGGTCCGCTGAGTTTCTCACACTTGCCGAGTTTCTCTGCGATTGCCTTATCCAGTTCCTTCACCTTCTCCGCCTGAGATGAGACAAGCGTGTTATCATACCACCGTGTCCAAAATGCTCCCTCACTTCCCCACCATTCCCTACCTTTTTACTACTAAAATCAAAGACCCACATATTATAGAAGAAGTGGGTAAATTCGTCTTTCATTGCCTAAAAAGAAGAAGTCAAACCCAGTAAAACTATAGCTTGTACCATGTATGTTGTAGAATATAGTATAATGTTACGGACGTAGATATAGTCTCACATAATATCATTGTATTTTCTTTCTTATGTTGTTTGTAACTGCAATTAGCCCTCGGGCATGTATTTGCATGCAATTAACTTTCAATGATTATAGCCCGATTCTGACTGTTCATTAATCTCCAAGCAGATGCTAGGGTGGCAAAAGACAGTATCAAATTGACCAGGCAGTATCCACTCGCCAGAGAGGGTCTATACGCCACCCGCAATCTGCTTAGAGATTAATTGTCCATAACTAACCGAAGCTAGATACTCATTTACACCTGAGTCAAGTGAGGAAATAGGACCCAACAAAGGGAGAGCGAATCAAAGAATGACACGCACGCACGCACACGCACACACACACACACACACACACACACACACACACACACACACACACACACACACACACACACAAACAAACAAACAAGCAAGCAAATAAACAATATAATGTACCTTCTCGTTTTCATCTGTTGTGAATATCATCGCCATAGCCAGTTTCGGCACCAGGTCCTCTAACTCGTCCACAAAGGCGTCGGCCTGGGCCCGCTCCAGTTTGGTTTTACCGTCCATTCCTGCAGGAGAAAATTGTTCAAATTTATAAGATAAATCGCATATTCATTTATTTATTGAAAAATGAAACAAGACATTACACTGACTCTCAAGGCAGCAAAGCTGATATTAGAGAGTCAACATATAAGGACAAAGCACATAGGGCACATAATTTCAGATACAATGTGAAATACAACAACAATCATATAAAAATCGCATATACGTCACGATTTAGTGCGTGCGTGTGTGCGTGTGCGTGCGTGTGTCGGTGTGTGTTGCAATCAGTTCGTCGACTACAGACCTACCCATAACAAACCAACCCTATTACACAATAGTTGTTTGAAGTAATCAAAGTCAAACCTGAAGGACAACACACTCACCCGTCTCCCTGGCAACGAAGCGAGCTATGGTCATACTCTGGCACAGGGTGACTCCGTCCACCTCCAGGATGGGCAGCTGACCCATAGGCATGGCTGGAACAAGAGAGCTAGCATAAACGGATATCACATGGAATACCATCTGATCTGGGGACTATTTCTGAGGACTGACCAAGTCCAAGGGCTGATACAGCCTTGTCCCGAAAAGAAACCACAGCGCTCATTGAAACAAATGCAGGCGGCTAGGCAGGCCGCTAGCAAAGTCTGCGTAGAACCATGGAGTTCGTCCATGGACGCTACCTCACTAGCCGTTGGCTACTACTGGTATTGCAAAAGTCTTTTTTTTTAATATTGCAAAATTCTTTCTGGTGACCGGGTCGAAAAGTTAAAAAAAAAAAAAAGAAAATAGTTAAGAAACCCCCTGTCTCTCTTGTCTAATTTTCCCTATTTTTTTTTATTTTGTTATATTAAAAACGTGTGACCGGGGACCGATTGAAATACATGTCGGTATCTTAAATGATGCTCAGGAATAATTTTGGGATAGAGGATCGTTTGCGATTCAACATGGTCAGTTGCAATAATGTTTAGCTTAAAGTTCCTATTTGCAGTTTGTTTGTTTTTTGCCAGTACGCATTTTCTTTGGTACAGAATTATTGTGTGGACTGTTTCATAGTAGCTAAAACATAATTCCATGTGCAATTCTGGACGACTTTGTTGTTATAGAACTCCCCAACTCCAGAATGCAGTGCGGTCGTGTGGTCGTAGCGGTAGAGTGCTCGACTCGGAACCAAGACGTCGCGGGTTCGAGTCCTGACATGCCACCGATCCTGTGCCCCTGGGAAAGGCAATTTACACGACTTTCCTCACTTCGCTCAGGCGAAAATGAGTATTTTACTGTCTCCCGTGTTGGTGGCGGCATTAGTATAAGTTGAAAAAAACTTGAGTGTGCCGTCACCACGTCTTGTGACTACATGTTGGAATATGAAAAAAAGAAAGAATGCAGTGTGTACACTCATCTACCCCCTTGCTATGCCGTGTTACACCGGTCGTGTGACCTATGACTTACTCGGTTTCAAGGCCGCCCAGTCGTCCCTCCGTACCCTGACGTCCTCGTACTCCACCCCTGCAGCGGCGAACAGCAGCCGGGTCGGCTCCCCGCGAGCTCGCACGTCAAAGTACGTAAACTTGTACTTAGGAGCCATCCTTGAGACTTACAACCGTACAGTTCTAGCAGTGAGAGCAGAGAATGAACTCGGAAGACTGGCAGTCTCCGTACGTGCCTATCTACATGTACAATGGGCGTCCCCGCTATCTTTGGCAGGTGCAAATATGCTCGTATGTGCCAACTGCCACCGAGATCGACACTTGTTTGAGCAGGACATACCATCAAAGGGGGCACGACTCAGATACAAACAGTTGCATACAAAGATAGCAATAACAGGTGGTTTGAGAGACCAAATAGTAAAAAATGAAGTACTACATAGCCTTCGATAAAGTACTAGTTAGCGAGGTTTTCGGCGATCAGTAAGGCCTTTCATAAGGTTTGGTATGGTTCGCTGTTTTGCAAATTTGATCAATTTCTTTGGTCTGTTGTCACTGTGGCTTTTGACCCTACTTTTCTTGTGTCAACTTGTGGACTGCATCAGAGCGGCCACGCCCCACTCTGTTGTTTAGGCAACCAGAACAGTTCAGGAATGTTTGACACGTGTAACTAGTGTGGTTCGCTCAACGTCCACTATTGTATCCAGAACCGTGCTTATCGCAGTTCAATAGGGTTAGAATCAGTCACCCTTCTGGATACCCCCTTTTATCCATGGATGTACTACTAGACTTGCATCAGGCACAGTTCTGGATACGCTTTAGAATCGGGCTGAGCATGGCTCTAGACAAAGCTTTGCCCACAAGCTGTACAAGTCTGAACAGTACAGACATTGGTTTCCTCGACTTCGGGGAGAGATCAGTGGGAGGGAAACAAGACAGAACAAAAAACTAGACCAATTGCCAGCACGCACAGCAAGATATTCGAAAAGCCCATTGCCTTACCTCGTCCAGCTTTTAAACAGCACTCTGTAATGTAATCCTGTAATGTACATGCCGTTATATACTTTGATTTTAATCTAGTACTTTTAATGAGGTTGGTATTTTAACCTAGCTTTAGTGTTCTATTGTAAAATGTAATGATTATATTGTCACAATATGTTTTTATACAATGTACGGGACATGTAATTCAGCCTTCGGGCTGCGAAGTGTTTCAAATAAAACCCGCATCATTATTATTATTATTATTATTATAAGCTCTTCCCCATGGCAAACCATACAGATGATGAGCACATTTTACACAAACATGTTTACTGGAATATATTTTTATTCTCCTGTTTTGAAAGACTGACTTGTCGATAGAGTAAAGATAGTGTCACCATCCATAGAACGACTCCCATGCAGATCGCAGTGCGTATATGTAGTATAAACAAAACATAGGGACTCCTCTTGTTTGAAAATATGATATTTTAGTATGACATTAGCCGATCCTACCGAGGTAGAAGTGTGGAAATATTGAAATTCTATACTATATAAATGACTATGCCGAAAACAACCATTTCCTTTATCAAATAAAAGCTGGTTTAAACGCAAGATGTAGCGAATCCACATTGCACCATATAGATAGAGCTTCTAGAAAAATCATCATGCTTCACCTCATTGGAGGATGACTGCTTTAGTTTACTTTTAGAATCAGTATTTACCTTTGTGTATCCAAAGTTGTATATGACACCTTCCGGCTATCTCTGTATTATTCCAACATTATGCTCAGTTTAATTGTTTTTCTCTGCATGAAAAACTAGTTTCACTAACTCCGTATGTTATACATTGCATTTTTGTTTTACCTTAAATTTGTGTATCCAACGTTGTATGGTAGATCTTACAGATATCTCCTGTATTATTCCAACAATATCCTCATTCTAATTGTTGCTCTCTGGATAAAAAAAACTAAGTTCACTAACTCCGTATGTTAAACATTACATATTGCCACGTCGTACGTAGCCTGGTATCCAGTCTTACGTGATTGGGGGTATTGGGGTGTTCAGGCAGGTTGTGTCTTTGGGGGCTCTAAGAGCTTCCCCCGCCCAGTGCAACAGACCGTCCCGGTAGGAGTGTTACGCTAATCAGAGACAGTATGCTTGGGGATTTGGTTTCCCCCCAACACGATTCGTGGAGGGCTAATCAATATCTCGTGAAATACACACCGGGAAACCTATGTGAGGCGGGCGGGCCAGAGCTCTTACGGCCCCGAGCTCTTACGGCCCCGACCACGATCAGACTGGATACCAGGCTACGTCGTACGAAAAATTGTTTTCTTTTTTTCTGACTAGAACGGGGTTTCCGGTCGCCCGGCGAGGTACGCTGCGATGCGGGAGTTGAGTTTGACGTTCTCCACCACCTTGGCCAGTTTGGGGTAGTTCTCCAGGGTTCCCGGTTTGTAGTTCTCCACGTTAAAGGCGATGTTGAAGAACACCAGGTCGCACCACAGTATCTGATGGAGATTATTTTGTGTGATTGGTTTATTGATAAAACGAGGAAGAAATCGGCCTTTACAATTTGCAATCGACTTAAGCTTATACAGCAAACCAAACGCAATAATTTATTATTATTATATAGTTTTCACTAGTAGTTACTTAGTAGTTATCAGTAGTTTTATGTGTACTAATTGTTTTTATATCATATATTTCTTCTGTTCCTGCAATTAGCCCTCGGGCATGAATTTGCAATAAAACATTATTACTATTATCATGAACAAGCCTGAACCGTGATTGCCAACACAAGAAATTGGACTCACCCAAATTTTCGACTGTACAACTCCAGTCTTTGTCAAGGAGTTGTACAGTCCAAAAATTTGGGTGAGTCCAATTTCTTGTGTTGGCAATCACGGTTCAGTCTTGTTCATAATGACTTCTACCGACATAGATGAACTTTAAAGATACGCTATTATTATAGTATGTACAGTAATATCGTGATGGTTGCACATCATCAACACAATTAAAAGTAGGGTTTTTGTTCGGACTTATTGGAGGAAAAGTTACTGAAGTCCAGCTCGAATAACAGTTCTTAGAACTATTAGTACTGTTACACAAATTTTATCAATAGCAACTATGTATTGCCATTCGTTGTACCTGCTACAATTGTCGTGCAATTCTTCTATTAAGTAACCGAGTCATACAAATCCCTTGACACGTACCCTGTTGCCGACCATATATCCGGTGGACCCGATGAGTTTCTCCAGTTTGCTATATTTGGTGACGATCATCTCATCAAGCTCCTTCATCTTCTCTGCCTGGGGGTTAAAACAGACACGGGGGGCTGGTTATAACAACGTCAGTGCACTGTGGGTGATCTTCAACTATTTTACATGCACTTCATGATAGACTCACTCAATCGCTCGCTCATTTATTCGTTCATTCGGCCGTTTGATCACTCACCCAGTCATTCATTTACTCCGCGGCTTACTGACAGGTACACACACGCACAAACGCACGAACACACCCACCCACTCACCCACTCGCTCGCTCGCTCGCTCACCCACTCGCTCACTCACTCACTCACTCACTCACTCACTCACTCACTCACTCACTCACTCACTCACTCACTCACTCACTCACTCAATGTAGTTGGATGAGTTCGCTGATGCCCAATGCCAAACGTACGTAACATACAAACTGATATTAAAGAGGAAGGGCCATTTCTTTGTGATCATGAATATTGGCCCATACAGACGTTAGATAACCAAAGTACCTTCACAGCTTCGTCGGTTATGAACATGAGGCCGCCCATCTTCGGCAGGACCTCATTTATCTCATCCACGTACATGTCTGCCTGCGCCTGCTCCAGGTTAGACTTACCCGCCAGTCCTGGGGAATCGGACGAAATAGTTAGAATCGCCTGGACACTCAGTCTCATTGGATAAAGTAAGAATCTTGGACACAGAAGCGGACTTCTTCGCACGAGGGATTAAAGAGGCTATCTACATCAGGGCATTACAACCATCCCTCAACAGAGACGGGGGGCGCCACAGACTTCCTGCAACCTATGATCCACTGCTCACGGAGTCACGTGTGTTATCTGCGTGTCGTCACGGGAGCGGTGGATTGCTCATTCCTTGACAAAGACTGGAGTTGTACAGTCGGAAATTTGGGTGAGTCCAATTTTTTGTGTTGGCAATTACAGTTTAAACTTGTTTCATAATGACTTCTACCAACACAGATGAACTTTCAAGATAAAGTTAGAACATCTACTGAACAGAAAGTTAGAACATGGCTTAATGGCTATGGCACGATAGTGAGGTCGTGAGTTCGATCCCAGGCATTTCTGACTGGACAGTGTGTCCTTGGGAAAGGCACTTTACACAACTTTCCTCACTCCAGGTGTGAAATGGGTACCTGGCTTTGGTTGGGGAGGTAAAAGGCAGTGGAAGGAGAGGGATGGGCTCTGCCTTCCAATACTGTGGCCTAGACACAGTGGATTACCAACTCACTGCCCCTTACAAAGGTATTAACTACATCTAACTTTGCTAATAGGCTTTTCATAGAACAAACGTCTCACGGTTTCTCCAGATGGAACGGATCAATGTGCTACATATATAGTCACATTTCTATCTGCTAACACTGTGCAGGTAGCTGTGTTAATAAAGCACTAGTTTACACATGTTGAGGAATGAAAATGGAATGTCAACAATGGACCCGCCCATCGTAAATAAGCAAACATCTCGGAGTAACCTGACACCTATTGGTACTTCAGCCCAGGCTAAGGATGACTCAACGATTATTTTTGATATAGAATTATAAGTTATGGCATTCTCAATAAGTGCATTACGTTGAAGAAATAGTAGAAATGGTAGATTTTTTGTTGTTGTTACAGGTGTTAACCGGATATGGGAGGCTATGCTTATCTGTATCTGAATCTGTACAGATATCAAGAAAATACGCCCCCCCACACACACACACATTTAGTATTTAGCCACTACATTGTTTATTAGCACGTAGAAAGGCTCTGAGACCCTTATGAAGACTGTAGGAGGTACGGCGTTGTACACTTACCCACATCTCGGGCCACGAAACGAGCTATCGCCAAGCTCTGACACAGCGTCACTCCGTCAACCTCCAGTGTTGGCAGCCCTCCCATAGGAGTCGCTGGAAAAAAAGTTGATGAAGCAACTAAGATTATATTACTTGACAAGGAACTTGCTTATAAACCTGCATTTCCCCTCTGGTCTCTCAGTCATTGACGAAAGCTAGTGGATACTAGCTGAAACGTCTGACGTTTTCAAAATCATATCCAATTGCTTGGGTAACTGCTTTTTGGCGTATCATATTTCCTGGATATCTAACCTTCATCGACGTTCCTTTACAAGAATTATAACTTTTGACAGTGCAGTTTTTGCACTTTCTCATTGATTACTGAATATACATGTTATGGTTGTTTAGTTAAGTTTCCATTGTATCTGACGTTGTATTGGTCCTTTTTGAAAAGAAATCTTGAAGAAATGGTAATGTTTTGAGCTTTCTTAGTTTCTTAAGAACAGAGGCATATAGTATAGAACGCAATTGCGGTACGAGATGACCATATGTTTGGTTAGTAGTGCGTTAATGATTGAATGAGTTACTTGACCCGGAGTCGCAGGTCCTGACTGTTAATAAAGGGCGAGGTCACGCTCGTTGTACGATGTTTTCAATGATTTTGTCCACCCTTTTCGCCGAGGGTTGGATAAAACTGCCATGCACGACCGTCTAATAGAGTCTACGGCAAATCTTTTCGGTCTCAAGACAGCTGAAGTTTTATTCGTACGACACATGGACGACTGTCATAAAAATGCGCAAACCTACTATTCGGCTTTAAGCCCGTCACACAACAACAAAACCGAATGCCACGAGTTCTACATTCTGTCTGTAGTTGTGACGAGTGTTGTCGGTATCGCTCTCCAAATTGAGCGAGCAATGTTGCATCCAGAACCGTGCTTTTATCCGGAACCCTGCTCAGGCACGGTTCTGGATAGTCCAAGCGTATCCAGAACAGGGTAAATCTGGGTTCATGGATACGCGGAGACTATCCAGAACCGTGCCTGATCCTAGCCCTAACCTAATCAGGCATAGAACTAGATAGACATGGTTCTGAATACAATAATTGTTTACTTACTCTCTTTGAGTGCCGGCCATTCCTCAAATGTGACCCGTACGTCCTCGAACTCCACATCGGCGGCTACGAACAACAGTCTGGCCGGCTCCGCACGCCCTCGGGCGTTAAAATACGTCAGCTTGTACTTAGGGGCCATCCTAGAGTCTTCAGAACTACGACAAGAGTGAAACTACTACTGACGAGGTCTCCGAATGCGTGTATCTCCAAACCTGCGGTCGTGCAAATAGTGCTTCAGGGTGACACAGCACTTCTTTTGAAGAGAGGTCACGCTTGTGTGAGGGGGAGATACCATCACAAAACACAGGTAGACCTTTAAAACGTGTAACATTAATACTATATCTATTTATCGTAGCTTATAAGAAGGCAATGATATCTCAGGTTTTACATGCACATTATGAGAAATTGGATGTTTCTACGTCTATTTTTTTGTCTTTTTTTAAGGTTATCTTAAAGAAACTGTTAACAGAAAGACTGGCTTGAGCTGTGCGTCGTGCAGTGAAGCATGGTGTTTGGGATGCCGCTGTCAGCACCTTGTCGGTATGTACACCGGTGCTATGGAGAAAACAGACCACGCGGAACTACATGTACGTATCCGGCCCGGGGTGTTTTTATTGAATGAATGAAGACCTTTATTGTACATTTGTGTTCTACAGAACTAAGTACAGGTCGCATGGGTACAGAACATGAACATAAACATATATACATTACATACATATGAACATATAGGAGTGTAAATAAATGTCTAATTTCTATTCTTTTCGGCTTCATCTCGCTTAGTAGTGATTGTATGGATATATGCGGCTGTGAGATTACTTAGAGTAGGTTTATCAAAAGTTAAAAGGAATACAAATTTCTCTTTACTAGTCAAATATCTGAAGTGGGGAAATATACTTAATACATGGCTAAAAAATATGAGTCTATCTCTACTATACAAGGGGCAATCTATGGTGAAATGTATTTCATCTTCTATTTGGTCTAAACTACAGAATTGGCAGGTTCTTTTCACACCGTGTTGCCTCACGCCCAGTGCCACTGGGTGGAGACCGTTCAGCGAGAAAACAAAATGGATTTGTGTTACCTCATGATGACTAAGGCCTATGGACTGTACCCCTGACTGTTGTCTTTTTAAATGTAGTACAGTGTTCTGTATCAAATGTTGTCCGGGAAATTTATAATGTATGAAACATGTATATTTGTTGGTTTGTTAATCGTACGCCTATATTGATTGCAAACCTGTAGTTTTAATATACCAATGTTTTGTAAATTGGTTTACAATTCAGTTGTTTTTAACTGCGAAGAACCAATAAATCCATCTTGAATCTTGAATTGAATAAGGCATCCATCAAAACGAAAAATATTCTGGATGAAAATCTGTCTGATATCTACATTCAGTGAAATTCCAGCGTTTGAAATAGCCCCAAAGCAAGCTACGTGAGGTGTCTTTTTTTTTTGGGGGGGGGGTACCGCTCCATAAGTAGCTAGAACCATACGATACAAAACAATCAACCATTATCTATCAGCGGTTCTAAGCATCGCCACCTTGCGTACTTGTTTATTACTGCAGAAACCCAGAAGAAAATATCAAATTAAGATCAAAGGTTGTCTGGCAAGTAAGGCAACCTTTGGTCAAACCTAAAGAGACAAACAACACGTAGGTTAAGGTCCGACGAATGGAACAAACAGGAAACACTCCATCATGACCAGTACGGAGGAAAACTACGAGCCCCCGAGGAAAAAACCAGCCCCGCCGGCGAGCTGCCCGCAGGTCTACCTCACCCCGCCCCCGCAGCCGAGAGACAAGAAGCCCGGGCAGCTCAGTAAGGCGCAGGTCGACCAGTACTTCAGAGACGTAAGAGTTTTCACCCAGGTTTTCCCTCTTGTCATTTTCCTCACCAACAGTACAAATTCGCTATCAACCTGCGCTGAACAATATGTTATGGCCCCTTCATAATATGCCGAATCAGCGGGAGTTTGTGTGTGTGTACGCGAGCGCTTAATTGTGTATGCACGCGCGCGCGCGCGCGTGTGTGTGTACGTGTATGTGTATGTGTGTGCATGTGTGTCTGTGTTCGTGTATGTGTGTGTGTGTGTGTGTGTGTGTGTGTGTGTGTGTGTGTGCGTGTGTATGCGTGTGTGTGTGTGTGTGTGTGCGTGTGTATGCGTGTGTGTGTGTGTGTGTGTGCGTGTATGTATGTGCATGTGTGTCTGTGTGCGTGTATATGTATGTGTCTGTGTCTGTGTATGTGTACGTGTATATGTATATGTATGTGTATGTGTATGTGTATGTGTATGTGTATGTGTATGTGTATGTGTATGTGTATGTGTATGTTTCTTGACGGTCCGCCAGAGGGCGCTTATCTGTCACCTCTGTCATGTCCCTCCCCGTGGCAGGGTTACCTGGTGGTGACTGACTTCTTCCCGCCGGAGGAGCTGCAGCCCGTGCGGGAGGCGGTGGAGGAGCGGGTGGACCACCTGGCACAGACGCTGTACCGCGCCGGCAAGATAAAAGGTCTTAGCAATGTTCATCTGTGTTGGTAGAAAGCATTTTGAACACTTCAAACACTTTCAAGACTTCAATGAACACATCACTGAACACATCATTGAACACCTTATTGAACACGTCATTGAACGCGTCATTGAACACATTAATTACTGAACACGTCATTGAACACCTTATTGAACACGTCATTGAACGCGTCATTGAACGCGTCATTGAACACATTAATTACTGAACACATCATTGAACACCTTATTGAACACGTCATTGAACACATTTTCAAACACATTACTGAAGACACCATTGAGCACATTATTAATATTGAACACACCAATAAACACATCTTTGAGCACATATTTGAACACATCATTGAATGCATGATTGAACACGTTAATGAACACATCATTGAACAGATTGTTGAACCAAGGAGGTTACATCAGTGAATAGATAAAAACATCAAGACTCAGTGATTATCTAACACCAATTAAGAAACACTGGACTGAACACACGATCTGTCAAAGGGAACGCATTGACATCAATGCCCAGCAATGGTTAATTCAGTGACACCTGTGACAGGCCAGTTTGTTTTGTTGAACACAGACAAGCACGAGGAGGCAGGCCTGTTCCAGAGGCTCACGCTGCTGAATGAGGAGTTTCCAGGGGCAGCAGTCGTGCTGGTGAAATCACGCAGGAACATGCCCAAGGTAGGAACTCCAGGGGCATCCCTTTCCCTTCTTCTTTCCTATATACTATATACGAGACGGAAGTATTGTTTTCGGTCATGTTAATTGATAGTCTGTGTGTTTGTATCGAGTCCGCACTAAGACGTGCAATATTGGGTTTCAATTTACCTCATACAATCACATGAGTAGTAATTCATTATGTGATGTAATTCAACCGGGTATTTTGTTCTGATTATAGGTTTTGCATTGATGCCCTCTTACAAGTCATGGCTTGGCCACCTTTTTTCGTCCCTGTTATGTTTTCTCCCTTGTTTAGACGACAACAATTAGATTAATGAAAAGTTTATTGCAAATTCGTGCCCGGAGGCTAATTGCAAATTACAAAACATAAAAGAGCAATGAAATATAGTATAAAATAACTGAAGTCTACATGATAAAGGTAGCTGTCTAGAACTATAACTATGTCTAAAACTATGTCTGAAGGGTTTGACTTCTCTTCCGTAAACCATGGAACTTGGTTATTTAATAATTGATAATTTTGTGGCGTTAATACCATGTACAAAATATTCCTTGACATAGATAAGGTACGGCCACGGATATGATAAAACAAACAAACAAACAAGCAAACAAATCAGTGTTGCCTTTCTCCGCAGGCCTTCCGTGATCTTTGGTCTCACGAGCGGCTGCTGAACGCCGTGGAACAGCTGATCGGACCGGACATAGCCGGACATCAGGTCTGGAACCTCCGGAGTAAGGTACGCTCTGCGGGGCCCACATATACATACAGTACCACCCATATACCGCCCTGTATATGTATATTTGGGGTATACGTATTTCTTGCGCAATGCATCACACTGCAGCGAAACGCAACGAATGCGGAAGTAACTACGCCAGCGCAGGGCAAAAAAAGTCAAGGGTCTATGACATGGTTAAGACATCAAATTATTTGAAAATATTGTGTAAAAATGCCAACAGGATAAGGGTTAATTTAATTCTAGCTATGGATGAGATCCGCGCGCGCATTGATTTTCGCCTCCTGTGCTACAGAAGGGCTGCCATACAACATAGTCATTTCATTGTAACGACGTCCTCTTCATGTAGAAATAATAATCCCTTCCTCAAGTCATGAAAATTAAGAGCACAATCTTATTAACAAACCGTTTGTTAATGTCAAAACCTATGCATTTTTGTTCTTCAAGACACCAACGAATGAAGCGCTGACGGTCCCATGGCACCAAGGTAATTTATAACGCCATCTTTCAGTTACCACAATATAAGCTTTTGTATGCATGTACATATAGTACAATGTACAATGTTTACAATATAATAGCAATCTTGAGAAAAATGCGATAGAATTTTCTTTTCCAATGCTCCTGTTGCACCTTTGAACGATTGTTACTTCCGGGATGGAAGTATTGTTTTGGGGCTAATAGGTTTGTGTGTTTGGGTTCCAAAGCGAGTGGGTGGAGATTGGGTTTCACTTGATTGGCAGGGTTTGGGCCCAGTATGCTCTGGGTTCAAGCATGCGGTCACCTGGAATGTATGAAGCATCTCGTACTCAAAAAAATTAAAATCTTTCACATGTCATAATTCCTTCAAAGACTATTAACCCAATCTCTATCCATAGAGCAGTGACATCGCCTCTGTTTAGGAATATTCGCTTGCTTCTAATATTTTGTCCAGACAATGCATACCTGCTGCCCGACTGCCTCGGCACCCTGCAGCCGACAGCCTGGATCCCGCTGTTAGACGCTACGAAGAAGAACGGTTGCATGCAGGTCAGTGGACACTCGCTAGTCCTTGGGCTGACGCAAAAAAATACCGGTAGAAAAATAATAACGCCTAAAACACGCTTGGGGAGTTGGGGATTCAATCCTAACTAATTGTATCTGTTATGCTTGTAGGTCACATTTCCAATCCGGGGCCCGGCCGGGCTGTTTCGATTAACGAAAAATCAACAATTTATTTCAAGAATACAGGCAAATAGTTCATATTGTATTTCTCAACTTTTTGTGCTTTGTTGTCTTTCATATCACACTTTTCGTTCTATAAGACTGCCCAGCCGGGCCCCGGTTTGGAAATGTGACCTCAGCATTAGATGATCACAGACAGTGTTCCATTGAAGCTTTGTTCGTCTGTTTCTATTTGTAATGTCACCAGCATGTGAAGATAGTCGACGACACATACAACTCTTCGTAGTGAGTTTGGTCTGCCTCGTGGATGGGACAAACAATATATGATTTCATACATGTAGGTCCTGAAGGGCGGGCACAGGAAGGGCATCACCGCTACTCACACGTGCTGCGCCGGCGGGACGTGGTACGTGGAGGTGTCGGCAGAGGAGATGGAGAAAACCTTAGGTACGTCCGCTGAACGTTAGCCTGGGTGAAACCAGGATTTTTCACGGTTCTTTGGATATTTGGTCACCGTTGCATCAGAATTAAGCTGTTGCAGACAATATCTTTTCAGCTTCTACATAACATTCTTAGATATGAGAATTCGTCCCTAATAAATGGGACTTGCTACTGAAATGCTATGCACTACGAGTGTCGCGTACAGGTGCAGTACGTTGTAATGACATGTTCGTCACAGAACATGTAACGTTACGTGGCAGAACACCAATAAATACACGATCTGACTCAGTGTTTCCAAACATGAATCTCTATAGGACCTCTCAGTGGACTGAGAAATGGTGGAACCTGACCGAAATAGTAGTGGATTGTGGAAATAGACAATTATATGCATGTACCAAAAACAGATATTAGTTTCTTTGTGACTGATATGCAGGATGCGACATGGAGAGGGACCTGGTGACATGCGAGGTTCCGTATGGGGGAGTCCTCTTCCTCAACAACTGCATTCCTCATCGCAGGTGAGGCAACCTTTACACCATATGCAGACCATTAATTATAACCGACCAAAATTGGAAGTGTGACCAAACACGTTATATCAGCAATGATGAAAAAAGTAAGATTTGAAAGATACGAAAAAACTAAACTTATAAAGATACATCTCTCTTTTCATGAAACCAGTGAAAGAAATATTTAGTTTATCACTCAAATTCATACATTTGTTACTAGAACCGCAGGAGTCTTCCCTTACAGTACCCGAACAAACCGCCAGCTTTATGCAAAGAGCATTTCCTGTGTTGTTAATTGCATTCATTCAACATCCATCTTTTCATTTCTATTGCCAGTCTGGAGAACTACTCTTACGAGATCCGCTGGAGTCTGGACCTCCGCTGTCAGTACCCGAATAAACCGCCAGAGGTCGTCGTTATGTTAAGAAAGCATTCTTCCATTCAATATCCATCTCTCCATCCCCTGTTGCCAGTCTGGAGAACTACTCTGACGAGATCCGCTGGAGTCTGGACCTCTGCTGTCAGTACCCGAACAAACCGCCAGGGGTCGTCTTTATGTTTTAAGAAAGCATTCTTCCTATCTGTCGTTAATCTCATTCAATATTCATCTCTCCATCCCATGTTGCCAGTCTGGAGAACTATTCTGATGAGATCTGTTGGAGTCTGGACCTCCGCTGTCAGGACCCGAACAAACCGCCAGGGGTCATCTTTATGTAAAGAAAGCATTCTTCCTCTGTCATTAATCTCATTCAATATCCATCTCTCCATCCCTGTTGCCAGTCTGGAGAACTACTCTGACGAGATCCGCTGGAGTCTGGACCTCCGCTGGCAGGACCCGAACAAACCGCCAGAGGTCGTCTTTATGTTAAGAAAGCATTCTTCCTATCCGTCGTTAATCCCATTCAATATCCATCGATAGTCTCCATCCCTGTTGCCAGTTTGGAGAACTATTCTGATGAGATCCGCTGGAGTCTGGACCTCCACTGTCAGTACCCGAATAAACCGCCAGGGGTCGTCTTTATGTAAAGAAAGCATTCTTCATATCTGTCGTTAATCTCATTCAATATTCATCTCTCCATCCCTGTTGTCAGTATGGAGAACTACTCTGATGAGATCCGCTGGAGTCTGGACCTCCGTTGTCAGTACCCAAATAAACCGCCAGGGGTCGTCTTTATGTAAAGAAAACATTCCTTCTCTGTCGTTTTAATCTCATTTGATATCCATCTCTCCATCCCTGCTGCCAGTCTGGAGAACTACTCTGATGAGATCCGTTGGAGTCTGGACCTCCGCTGGCAGGACCCGAACAAACCGTCGGGGTTCTGGGGAGAAAAGGACCTAGTCTTGATGAGGACAGCAAAGGATCCTGGGTACAAGCCACGATGGGAGGAGTTCTTACATGATGAGGGGGAGGAGGAGGATGGAAAAGTAAGTGGTAACCTAAAACCAAAGGGTTAGATGTTCATGTTTCGTTCCAAATAAATAAGGTCAATGACCTGGACCATACGGCTGTCACCATGGTAACTGGTGCTTTAGCAGACACTCATAGTGTTTTAGATTACATTATGTGGCAAGTGGCAGGGCAGAGTTGGAGGGTCTTGCCGATATATCTATGTCTATGATCTAGAGCAGGGCTAGACCATGTGAAGGTAAACAATGTGTTTTTGCTTTGCAAATGTGACCTTTCTAGTTAAAGGAGTACTAACCTCCAGAAGGAAGTGCTATTTTCCGATACATCATGCTGCAATGAATACATAACTAGCCGACTTTTTACATAATTTCGCTTGTACGACTTGCGCGGCGCATGTTTGTAAAGCGATATCAATATCAAATTTCCCCATGCTGAACCACAATTGATACATCCGGGAACTCTGGCTTACGCAATACTCATACACTTCAGGTCAACATTAACATTTTTCGCCGAAAATGGTAGGAGACAAGCACATTAACAAGCTGATTATTGAGAAATTACTTGCTTTACTTTGCTTTACCTGTGGTTTGAATACTATTATATGAGGATGTCTAATGCAGTGAGCGCCAGTTTCATCCTGCGTGTTTTGATTTTCTCAACTTATTTGCATGTAAGTATTAATTGAACAAATAATTAGATTACGCCACTTATGGAAAAGATAATTAGATTACGCCGTTTTTTTCATCGTCTATATTTCGGCATAAATAAGGGGCGATAAGGACATCAAGAAAGGCAATGGTTGATAAGATACCAAATAACACAAAACGGTAGGAATTTTTCTTATCGCCCCTGAAATAAAGTCTGTAACGTAACTTTTTGTTTAAAACATAGACACCAATGGGGTAGCGTGGTGTATTCTGGGATAGTTTTGAGGGTATTTGGAGAGTTTGTCCTGGATTCGATGCGTTTTAAGACTTGAGCGCAAAATGGGCATTTAATTGTATACTGTAAAGTAATATGCATTTTTCACTTCCTAAAATTAATGCCTGTCGGAATATAGCAACCCCTTCTGGAGGTTAGTACTCCTTTAACTTACTGTGTTACATGTCCCATATCTACGCACTCTTTACCAAGCAAGATGCATTTCTCTGTGAAAGAAAGATATTTGCTTCACACCATGCTTTGAATGCGTGTCAGTCTGTGTATGCGTGTCTGTCTGCCTCTTCGAGTGTTTTGGTCAACCTGTATGTCTGTTTCTGACGTAGCGTGAAGCGAGTGAAGTCCTGTCTCGGTTGGAGTTATTTCCTACTTTACGTTTTCTACTGTTTGAAATGCAAACTAAAGCCATTTCATCCGTTTCAGGTGAATCCAGCAGATTTGGAGCCTACCATCCAGGGTCCCTGGATGCTGCGCTGGGAAATTGTGCACCACAACAGGCACACTAAAGCACTCACGTCCTGAATCTTACCGCCAACTACTGTACTAATGCCTGGGTCACAATTGCAAAGGGTCTATACATATCATGCCCGTAGCCAGGGGGGTTCGGGACGGAACCTCCCCCCCCNCCCCACCCACACACACGA